TGACGACATTAATACCGCCAGACCTTTCAATGTGGCGTTCTTCATCTGATAAATGGCTAAGTTTTGAGTGAATCTGTCAAATATCGTCATGCTACGCTTCGAGATAATGTTGATCGTGAATCCTCTTTCAGGGGTACTTAACAAGGACGGGGACGCCATTAACCCTTTCTTTAACTATGCGTGGTATTAAAACGGGGGACTAATTTGATTGAAGAATTTAGTTCTCACATCTAACAGCAAATTAATTGTTAGTTATAAAATGGGGACTAATTTTGCTAAACAAAATCGTTCTCAGACATCAAATTTACGTTGACGAAGCATATCCTTGTTGTCTGTCTACATGATTATTAATAAACACAAATTAACGAAACAAACTGAACATAAAACGATCGAGCTGACTCCTTTCGCATGACTAAAAGCAAAGTAATTGTGGTTAATATTTGAAATCGGTGCAAGGAGTGGTTGAGCGAAAGCACTACTACATGATAACCAAATTGAATAATTAAAATGTAGAAACAACCGTTCTTCCTTAACATTAAATCTATGTTCAATATTTAATTATTCTTATGTCAAGACATAAACGCATTCTGTTATACAACCTTTCAAATCTTCTGATGCTCTTTCGTGACGATTTAATTACTGGGCGACGTAGGGGACCAGTGTTTTATGTGGACGTATCAATATTATCAGTCACAATCTAATTAATAGCTGCACGAAGAGAGGTGCGGAAAACCTATTAGCGGTATCACGACGCTGTCTAGAAATCAGGGAACACACTCTCTGTCTATCAAAGTGGACCATATGTTTTGGAACCCAAGGCTCTTCGCTCTGTACGTGTATAGAGCAAATATACCAAGAGAATGATTTGGATTAATCTACATTAATGGAATTTCATTAATAAGATATCCCTCTGATGAACCTTACTGGAGATTAAAGAATGTTGTTGTCATCTCACTTATTAGACGTATATTTTTAACGTTCTGTATCAGTAAAGCCTGGTCACATTGAAGCAAGATATAGTTCGTCATGTGGGGGCTGGGTAGCCGAATAGACTAACGCGTGCGCTTTAGGTCTGTCATTGAGTCAAGTGGCTCTGAACGGGTAACGAAACCCTTAGCAGATGTCAGTACATTCAAAAAAGTTCCATAACAATTAAGAAACAAACAGATTGTAAAAATATTAACATGCCCATAATCAACCATCTGGGCCATGGGATGGCTCAGATTTTAAGTAGATTAGAACATCGCGACCATTTTAACGATAAAATAAATAATCAACTTAAGCCTAGCTTATGTCGCCTACTACACGATAAAACTAACGGCGACTAATATCAACTGAGAGCTTATGTCGCTACGACTGAATTTATCCACGACTGGACGCAACCCCGAGCAATCAGTTGATCATAGTCGTAAGCGCGCTCACGTCGCCTGGCGCCAGTTGCAGAATCGGAGCCACAACTGATCACATGACTGACACGTGATAACCTTCGAAATGGCCCCATTCCACTTGTCCGCCATGTTTGTTACCGATCCCTGGGTACCACGTGACTAAATAATCGAAACGTATTGGCAACCAGTCGTAAGAGCGCTTTGCCAGTTTTGACGCGTCGTAGGACTACATAAGCAAGGCTTTAGTCTCGATTGCTAAGTACTGTTTGCTACGATAATACACAATATATATGGTATATTTTGTCAAAACTTCATGAACTCATAACTTCCCACAGAATAAAGTAATTTGAGTGAACTTTTCACTTTATTTATTTATTTTTCATTATATATTTGTGAACTATTATAGCAGGAATACCGAGCTCTCTATCTAATTCTTACAGATGCATATTTAAACTATGCAGGGAAAGAACGATGTCATCCCTTTACACACGATGCTGCCCTTTGCGTCAAATTTTATAAATTTCGTTTTGAAATACAAACCCCATTACTGTTGATCCGTTTTAGTTTCTAGTATATACTTCCATTACCTACAAAGTAATATTTTTAATTTTCTCCTTTATTTCCATATCCCCCCTCCCACCACCGAAATAGATTCGAATCAGATTTCACAAACTTTTTCTAAAGAACTATACGGTCAATGGTCTAAATAGTCGTACGAAACCTTTGCAGGCGATTAACCATTTCAGCCCATGGGTTTGTTCATCATTACCAATTACATAACCAAAAGTTTAAAAACCAAACTATTTCTCAATAGTTCCATTGCGTTTCGCGTTATAGCAGCACTCGATAAAGCATTCAATTTTTCATTCACTTATCTCACCCCGGCGAAATTTTTCGTGCACCACTGATAACCATTTTTTTACGAAATTTTTCTTAAGTAAACCTATGTCTATGCCCAGTAGTACTTCGAAGGAAACTTAAAATATTAAAATGCGTAACAATATCGGTACATGAAATAGAATATATCAATGCTTTGGTACATTCTTTAAAATCATTGAAGCATATGGAATAATTATTGTTTTGCTGTTGTGTAGGGATAGTGATGGCGTGCTTATCTTATGTGGTTGTTTTCTATATTTATATATGTATTGAACCAATTAACCATCTTAAGTTGATCATACTTCGAGAATATTTAAAACTGGGTTAGTTATTGCGTGTACCGAATCTCCTAGCATCGATTCAATTGGACTTGCTATAACGTCTGCTTCCACAATAATGATAAGGGTTATCGAATGAGACAGAGGGGTTCAAGTTAAATGAACACCCGAGCTCTTGCAAAGCCTCTAGAGCATCCACAGGCAACTATTCTGTCTAAATTTAAAGTCAATTGGATATTGACTTTAGCCTCTAGAGCGTCCTCAAGCAATAATTGTGGATGCCGGGGAGACGGGAGGACGGACAGACAAACAGAGAGGCGGGCAGAACGGGGCAACTACCATATACGTCTGTGTATAAATATAAATTTAATCGGATATTGACTTTAGTCTCTAGAGCATCCACAGGCAACTGTGGACGCCGTACGGACAGATGGACAGGCGGGGGCGACGACAATATACGACTGTGTATCAATTTAAAGTCAGTAGGATATTAACTTTACTTTAGCTACGCGGTCTCGGTGCAGCAATTGTGAATGCCGTATGGACGGATGGGCAGTCGGGACGACGACAACATACGTCTGTGTATAAATTTATTGTCAATCGGATATTAACTTTACTTCAGCTACGAGACCGCGTAGCTGAAGTAAAGTTAATATCCTATTGACTTTAAATTGATACACAGTCGTATATTGTCGTCGCCCCCGCCTGTCCATCTGTCCGTGCGGCGTCCACAGTTGCTACATTAACTGGAATACGATTTACAGTCATGATTTAACAGCCACAGAATAAACTAACCATATAAGGATGCGGAAAAAATAGCATGTGGGAATGGTATAGTAGTTAGAATAGACATCCAAAAAACAAATTAAAATTTTGTGTTTTTGTGTATTTGTTCCTTACTATTGGATCAGTTTTTGTAATCACATGGAAAGTCTTCTACGTGTATTTTTATATTAAAAAATACCAACTCAAGTCGATAATATAAAAGCGAACGAGGCTTTATCGATTGTTTTTTTTTTTTGTTTTTACTTTATCGACGAATGTTGATATTATTTGATAATAAAAAAAAGACGAGTAAATGATTTTCTTTTTCACCCAACCCTTTTCATCCTTTTGAATTGACCAATCAAATTAAGTAAAGCTATATCTCTTAGGAGATATCGCCCAGTAGAATGTTATTTGGGTGATTAATGTATTTATCTTTTGTATTAAAATACATTGTTTCTTGTTATTTCTAATACAGTGCACGCATGAAAATGCATGGTCTATTTTCCATAATCATTGGGTTAGTATGTTGGGGTGTTCCACTCGGCAAACCTCAGCAGATTCCACTACCCTATAACATCTAGCCTCGGCTGTATGACGAAGTCCGCCATTGGAACTACTTTCAAGTTCCTGGACACCTACGGCGTTGCCCATGACGACGCCTTTGAAGAATGTTTTATCATACAAATATTTCTGAAGCAGTTTATCCGATTTTCTTCAAACAAGTACAACTTTTCACAGAAAATTCTACACCCGCTTCGAACGACGCAATTTTGATAACTTCTTTTTAAAAGCGACACGTTTTCCTTATAAATGAACCGTTGCCGCATCGCAATTGTATAGGCGTAGGTACATATCACTTACCGTCATACAGTCAAGGCTAGATGTAGATTAACGGAATCTGCCGAGGTTTGCCGAGTGGGGGGTGTTCAACACCTATTTTTTCTCAAATGATCACCTGTGCCCGCGCTAAAAACACATAACAGATTGATCAGTAACTTGAAGATTCGAGTCACAACAAGGGGCCCAGTGTGTAAGTGTTTAAATCATCTGCAGGGGATATCGGTTATTGGGAATTTATCGATTCATCACATCTTTCTAAATACTGAACGTAACGGATCCATTTTGGGACGGGGATCCGTTTTAGACATTTAACTTTCATTGACAATATTATAGTTTGCAAGGAATTCAAAATTCCTTAATTGGCGGTCAATGGTTTTAAGTGGGTTTATCCGGCCCTGACTGAACCATTATTTTTTGTGAATGGAAAACTGTTTTTGGTGGGTGTTAATAATTATTCATATTTTGACTGTTGATTTCCTCTTTAAAAGTAAAGTGTTTGAACATGTCACAGCAGTCTCGTGGATCTTGCGTGAATAATTATGTATGTGTGGACTACTTAACTAACCATCCTTGAAAGCAACAGTAAAGACTTGAAAATGTCAATGAAACACAAGTCGGTAGTCTGGTACTCGACCTGTAATATTTATAATTCATAGATTTCTATAGCTACCTAGTGTTTTAATAATCACACTAATTCCAATCGACATGTAAACAATGATAACAAGCTGGGGGAAGAGAGGCTGTGATGCCGACCGAAAGCACGTGTGGAAACAACTACTCGTATAGTCTAAGAAAATTATCGCAGTGTCTTGATATGAAAACCAACCACCACTGTTTTACTTTACAGGCACTGCTGACTGGTAATCAACTTAAGTCTTGATTGATATCTCGTCTAATATAAAAAGTTCAACTTGTTTGGGGTTATAGGCGTACCAGAGTTTGTTCTCAGTCGTCGCAGTTGTTCGTTAGTTTAATGTTAAAGCTAATCATGTGCTGTGGACTATTATCCAGTGTTCTGCTTGTACTTACTGTTGGTAAGTAAACATTTTATATTCAATATTTTCACCATTTTATAATTAATATTTTCGCCATTTTATAATCAATATTTTCACCATTTTAAATATTTTTGATTTATTAACAATAGTGTTTATTTTTTCTTTGTGCGCAGTAGTTGGAAAACGCATTGATCCTGTTATGATAGATCATATGATTTTATTTGTAATGTTCTTTAAAGTTGTTAGGTTATTAGCTTAATGATTTTATTTGTTATGTTTTTAAGGTTGTTAGGTTATTAGCATAACAATGATTTTATTTGTTATGTTCTTAAAGTTGTTAGGTTATTAGCTTAATAATGATTTTATTAGTAATGAACTTAACAATTAGCTTAACATTTAAATATTGCATTTCATCAGAACACATATATACATCGTTACATACAAACAATATGTATTAAATACAAACAAACACACAAAAGAAGTGGGATTGGGGTAAATAAGTTAAATAAATAACACAACCACCAGAAGATTTTACCATGTCATTATATTATTAACAAATTGTCTCAAGGAAAACATTAAATTTATGTCTTCTACTCTACTTTGGAATTAAACAGTAATTTGTGGATACATTTTATATTTGCCAAGAGTCGATAATAAGTTGAAATTAAGATCTTTGATTGTTGGGTGATTATATCGATTGTGAAGTAATTAGGGTTAATAGCTGTTTTCATTAAGTTATTCTTTTGTCAAGAGTTCACATATTTTGACCCTTTATCTCTTTTAAATGTTCAATGTATTTCTATATTGAATTAAGCGTATAAGTCCAGCCGTTGTCTATTTCTATATTGAATCAAATCCAGGGCTATAAGAAAAATTCCATAGTAGATGAACTGTAGACATATACCTTATGATATATCCCCTTGTCTTATGCCATAATCTCTATTAAATCTATAACAGTCAGTATGGCCTGCTGGTTTTTATCTACCAGAGAAAGTTATAAAATTCACCTAACAACAGAACACAACTTAATTGAGATTTGAAAAGATAATTTCTTTCCAAAATATTTGGAGGGATATGTATAGGATATTAACCTACCCGAGGTTGATATGGCAGAGAACGCGCGGGCGAAGCCCAAGCGTTCTCTACCATATCAATCCGAGGGAGAGTAGGTTTATATCCGACATATACAACGCCATTTCACCCTTAAATTTAATGGGCTCTTCCATTAAAAGGCAACAACGATTGGATAATTGCTCGATAGTTTCCGCCAAATAGCGAAAATTACCGAAGTAATCACGTGCAATTACGTGCATGTTTTTGTTTATACGTCGCCATTTTGGACTATTGAATTGAAAGCAAAAACAAAATGGATAGTGAAATGGGGTTTAACGTCCTACTGTTCTGCTCCGAACTGGGCTAATGAAGACGGCATACGCCATACAGTGTGCTATGAGGGAAATTTTGCCCGGACAGCGACACTACGGCCTACTCTTATATCGAATTCCAACTGTCAAGGGATCTTTTACGTGCACGCCAATGTGTACACGGGACCTCGGTTTTTCGTCCCATCCAAAATGGATAGTAATACGAAGTCAGACGAATAATCAATCCTTTTTAGCCAACAAATTGACGATGGAATAGATGTGAATGCAAATATCGACGAGGATCTATCCAAAGCCTGCAGAAAATTTGGATCAAAAGGCATTCTTTTCCAAGAATTCTGACAGTAAACCATGATTGAAGGTTTTCGGTATGTTCAGAGAAGGATTTGACCGACTGTTTTAAGTGGACTGTACCCAAAAATACTTTACAAAGGAACTCTTGGGCGATAAATACTTTCAAGTCTTGTAGTGTGTGGAGAAATAATCGCAATGTGGACGAAAAGAAAATTCTGAAAGATGTCTTAGACATGGATAACCGATCTAAATACATGTATGTCGATAAGTACGCCGTCTATTTCGGTCCTGAATGTTAGAAACTGTACCATAACAAATTTTAATTGTCAAAAGAATAAAAAAATATTTCTGTGTTTTTTTTGTATTATTTCGATCATCTACGTCATCAGCGGTTGATATGAGCCGAATATGTTGACCTGAGATGACGTCATTAGCGGATGATATGAAATATCAACCTGTCATGTCATCAGCGGTTGATATGAACGAATATATCAACCTATGATGATGTCATGACAGGTTGTTATGAGATATAACTGCTATGGACATCAAAGTAAAAACTACCGCCAGTTGTATATAGATACATAAATAGTAGTACGTTATGGTTGCTTTAAGATAGTGCCCCTCAAAATATTGCGTTGACACGATAAATCTAAATCATTGAATTAAAGATACATTATGGGAGATAAGATAAAAAGATGGCAGTTCTCGCTATAATAGTTAAAAACTAGATAGTGTAAAGGTAATTTGCTGAAAATTTCAGTCAAATTGATCCACTATGAGCCGAGAAAGAAGCGGGTGAAATTTTTGCATAGTCTCGGCCATCATTACTAAAATCATTAATATAAACAGCATAGTCTCGATTATCCACTTTTTCTGATTTAATTATCAACGGCCGTTAGCGGCATATAGGAATCTAATCCAGCTAACATCGAAGGCTAGCCTTGACATCGAGAGTTTATTATGGTCTGGATAAGTTAATTAATATAATGTCTAATTGATAATTTAGATAACATTTCAGGCCTAAAGAAAGACTTGTAATAAGCAGATTTTGCTCTTGCATAATGCATGTTTAATTGACTCTATCCCCATTCCAATGGAAGACTGCAATTCGCCATGTTCAAGTTGATAAGGCGCATGTTAAGAAAATTCAGATTCACCATCCTTAAATTAATATGCGATGCTTCATCAAAGTGATGCTTTGATCTTAAACTAGAACTAATTTGGTAAATACGAAAGAGAAGCAAACAAGACATACGTTGGGTGTTTAAGGAAGTATTTTGATTTATCTGATATTTTTAAAAAAAAATAAATTAACTTTTTATGATATGGCAAATACCTACCCCTCCAAATATAAAATAGCATACATGTACATTGATATTGTTGTGGGGAACCAGTGACGGGCTTGTCCACATGCATATTCTAAGTACCATCTTAAGCTACTGTTTTCATTTCACTCGTAGTTTGTTGAACTTCACTGAAGTTTCAAAATTAAAAATACATCACACGCCCCCCTCTTAGACAACCACGTGTTTGATCTTTTTTTAGATCTAATGAGCAGTCGAACGTAAATATTTTGCATTTCCTCGGAAATAACCTACACATCTTTTATAAGAGCTCGATATAGAACTGTTTTTAATATGAATTAGATAGATAGCTAATGCGGTGAGAAAAATGAGTTCCCATCCGTTGATGAAAAGGGTTAGATCATTGGTCTAGAACGTCTGTGTTATTCTAGAATCCACAAAGGTGCTATGTTATTGTTTTAAACATGCGCCTGAGAGAACTAGTCGTTTAGATATAGAAAGATCAATTACAGTCATAATAATCTTATGAAAAATAACACATATAGCATGTCTGTAGTTCCAGATCAATGGACCGATGTTTTTATATAAAAAAGAATCATTATTTTCTATTTACTTAAGATAAAGATACAACAATACACCGATTTTATTATTTTTTTCTCTTGGAAATGACTTTATAATTAGGTGACGTCTATTAACCGGGGCAATTTCTGAGAGAAAGATAACTTGTCTAGACTTTTATACATTTCTCTGAAATTGGATGAAATGGGATTTAACGTCCTACTTTTCTGCAATAATCAAGCTAATGCACACGGACAGTGTATACCTGCTATGAGATACATTTTGCTCTGACAGCGGCGCTGTGGCCTACTCTTATTTCGAAATCAATTAACTGTTAACGGTTATTTTACATGCACGCCATTGTGTACAGCGGGTCCCGGGTTTTCGTACCATCCGAAAGATTAGACACTGCACCACTGACCAGGGGTAACTACGCCTCAAATTTCCGAGGAACTTTCTCGGCCAACGCCTCGATTGTCATTAATATCGTTGTAACGATAATAAACAAAGTCTCGATTATTCATTTTTACGGTAACCGCATCAGTCACAAACTATATTTGAATCTACTAAATATATCACAGTCATCCGATGTCATCGGGAGTTGATTATGTTCTTGGTAAGTTAATTAAAGTCTAATTCATAGTTTAAATATCTTTTCAGGCAGATTTAGCTCTTGCATAATACATGTTTAAATATAGCTTTTGTGTCATTTCTCTAATATTAATTTTGTGTGTTAATAAACTGTACTTTTATTTCAATATAAAGTCATGACAACAACGGCACAGATTATGTACAGAGTCTAGACTAATCCAACTTTTAACACAATTAATATATTTCCACAAGTATAGAACGTAAAGAGACTTCATGTTGCTATACCTTCGGAGTATATTTTCACAGCACTTCCAGACTTAATATTCCAATTTTTCCACTATTTTTAACAACTTCATCGTAGTTTTACTCTATACAGAGCAAGATCGGGACACGGTGGTGCTGATGGCGGGGGGGGGGGGGAGTTAGGTGATCGCATTTTCAAACGGAGTAATACACATAACCGCGATAACTGACTTAGTTGGCGATTGTGAGCAGATAATTTATACCTTAGCAGAATGGTCATTGCACACAAAACCATAGAATTATCAATCAACACAATGACGTCTCAGATCCTGGTAGTATTCTTAGGAAACTTTAATACACCATAATTCATTTCGGCTTTTGGACTACAAACCAAGGTCATTGCTCCATATAGCTATAGTATAAACAGTAAAGTTGTCATGTACAGGGCATGGCATAGATTATCTTTATCATGAATATCAGAAATTCGCATAGTAAGTTGTACTTTTGTGTTTTATCGTTTTCTAGGTTAGGTTGCCCCTGCCATTTAATTCTATCACCATAAAATCAGTAATTAAATTACTAAGCTAATGGACGCCACTATCTTTACCGGCAAACCAAAATACAGAGATTAGATGGTGTTTTTTTTATCTGCGCTACATCAACTACT